CATTATCTGCTAAGCAACTATCACGTGTTTCAGGAAGGCATACGAAGAGACGGATGATATGACGTAACGCACTTCATGGTTGGGACTGGTGTTGCCAGCGCAAACCCCACATATGAACTCGGAGGCCTCCTACACACTGCGGTCTGGAATTTCTTACACAACGAAAAATCAGAAATATCCAAAGTCTCTAGACTAACACTTCCGGAAACTCAAGTGCATCAGGTACAAATTCAAAATGCCGTTCCAGGTAGTCAAAATTGTTACAATCCTGACAGAGTAGTGTTAACTTCGGAAAATACGTACCATTGGTTTCATTGCAACAGCAAGATAATTAGGGCATGGAAAACCATATGGTAGGCAGCACACCGGCAGGCGTCAAGACATGTAACAGTCAAGACACGATGTCTGCAACATGACACTAAGAAAGGAGCACAGCTGAAATGAATGAGATTATGAAAACCGCCGCACACCGGTCCGAGTCATGATGCTCACGAATCATGTCTTGATGCTTGTCTTGACGCAGTTGGTGTGCGGCCGACCTATCCCTGCACACCTGTAGCTACGCCACCCGTACGAAGTCAAACGTTTCGTTTACTTTATTAACATAGTTACGTCTCTTGCATGGGATGACAGTGAAAACAATTCACAGTATATACATGTGTGGGTGAAAGTTTTCATTTTCTGTAATAAGAGTAATAATAATGAATCCCCCTTGCCTTTGTCGCAAACATTACAGCAGCCCCTTCCTGCAATAGCTTCACATAGAACCATTTTTGTCTCTTTTTGGTTCCCTTGGGTGGGGTGAGACCGAGTCCACTTGGTATATCGGCCACTAACTGGCCTATTGTACCAGCCCCGGATGATTGATGGCGATGAGTGTGGAGCAGTCTGTGGAATAAGAATCAGCAGGGGAAACCGAAGTACCACTCTGCCCACCACAAATCTCACACGATATGACCCGTGCCGCCGCGTTGGGAAGTCAGCGACTAACAGCCTGACCTATTGCACGGCCACATGTTTTTGTCTTTCTGAATTACCGTGGGAATATGAAGCGCGCGATGCAACTAGTATTGAGGCTTTGAAGCAGGGACAAGGGATTGGACCGGGGGAAAGCAAACCCTGTTCACTGTCTTCAAGCAGGCCTACATGGTAAGGCAAAATCCAGAGAAAACGCAAGCATCTTCTTCAGCTATGTACTGGGATATCTGCAATAAACTGCTCAGGTGTATTTACATTCCTTCATGTACGCCCATCTATCATCTCATCTGCCAACACAAACACCTAACAGAAGAAACACAGTGGGAAAATAAAAACTACATTCTGCTTCTTACGGGCGAACACACAAAACTATTTTCAAACGGTGAATGGACAATGGCTTCCATTCCTTCATCAGAAACAACCGTGAAGATGTCTCTTCGAATCATAATTTTCTCCGTAGACTCGAGACGTACTGCGGCGTGCGTGTAAGCAGCTTCAATGCCGCCACAAACGAATGGCTAACCGTAAAATATCCGGATGACCCAAATCTGTCAGCAAAGGTTTAACGTCCGTGTGGCAATGTGGGGCAGAGGAAGTTGGTAACGTCGTAACGCTTTGCTCTTATACTCGGGACATACCAAACATCCTTACATATCGTTGTTTTCTTCAGTCTTCCCGACACACTCACGGAGACCACTGCTGCGCTACTCTTAAACCTCGTCTCCTCACCATTCATTACAATGAATAGCTGTTGCAGCTGAAACAGGGTCGTTTCATAACCTAAGAGTCAATTTACTCCACGCCAGCGTTTCTCATCCTGTGATCCGCAAGCAGACTTAAATTAAATTACAAATTATCCAACCAAAACAAATTAAAATTAAATAAGCAAGTAAAAATTAATTATATCATATTTTTTTTTGTTTAATAAAGCTTAAAACTTTGTTCAGTGATGACTCATTTTTAATAGTTTACTTCCAATTTAATTAATTATGTTTCCATATGTATTCAGAACATACTTTTAGATATATTATGCTATAAATGGCACAGTGTGTCACAAATGTTGGTAATACCACATAGGCCTACATAACCCAGTGGTCAGTAGAATTTTTTCAGACATTTTACTGGTCCTTTGGCTTAAAAAGGTTGAGAAACTCTGGTCTACGCGAATAACACTTGGTGTGGCTCGGGGCGTGTGATTACTTCATAACGCTACATACACTATCCTGTAAACCACGGCACAATAATGATGCGTCTTGTACTGCAAACTCTGTCAGAAGTTAGAGACATGTGTCCAGGGTGTTCGAGAAGGAGTGCACACATTTTAAACATTTCTGTCGAGAAGTTAAAGAGCTAGGAGAGTGCAGTTTTCACCATATGAAACAGCCACTTAGAAAAATTTCCTCCCAGCCTTGTCTATTTCACTGCACTTCGACCTGAGGTCCCGTTGTTGCTCACACATGTCCATCCGGCATTCACATACTCTGAGCGCGTGATTCCTTCCACAGATGCACGATGCGCTTTCTCAAACCTTGCAGAAAGGTAAATCGTGTGTGGTGGTACACGCAGTCCAAAGGAACAAATGGATGAACTGGAAGAGCCGTGGCCTGCAATGTCGCCGGATGTAGCGTCTCTGAAGGTATACAGAGAACCGGGCGTACCGCACACGAGTCACTCATTTGCAACGCATCGTGCACCCTGTGGACGGAATCACGCCCGAGACGTGTGTCTGAATGCCGGATGGACATTGTGCGAGCAACAACGGGAGCTCAGGTCGAACTGCAGTGAAATGCAACAAAAGGCGGGGGACAATTTTGTGAGTGGCTGTTTCGTATGGTGAAAACTGTACTCTCCTAGCTCTTTAATTTCTCGACAGAAATGTTCAAAGCGTGAGCACTTCTCGGACATTTTGTATTCTATGTATGTCATGGGAGGGTCAGTTTCTTCTAGAAATTCAATAGTTCGATCTGAGCTTCACGAGCAGACAGGCGTTATACCGAAGAAATATGGGCAGACACTGATTTCGACGGTCAACGTTCCTTGCAGATCCTCAATAACAAATCTGGTCTGCGTGGAACAATTTGGAAACATGAATAATACGAAGAAAGCAGTCTTCTGGGATTTTGCACCGTGTATATGTGGTGTTAACCGACGTTTCGGAGGAACGTATTGCCTCCATCTTCAGGGTAGAAGAAAAAAATATAAGAAATCTGCAAGCAAAGAGACCGTGAGAACCGGTAAAAGCAGACTCACGGGTCTCACGATCTCTTTGCTTGCAGATTTCTTATATATTTTTTCTTCTACCCTGAAGATGGAGGCGATACGTTCCTCCGAAACGTCGGTTAACACCACATATACACGGTGCAAAATCCCAGAAGACTGCTTTCTTCATAGTCACCGCCGTGAAAGCCTCAAATCTTACATGAATAATACGGGTGGGCAAATAAACGTATTGTGCATTACATTCATTAACATCGTGCAACACAGATCGCCCCAAATCATATGAAGTCGTGTTCCTGGGTGGTGCAAGTCAAGGCGCAATGCACCCGGCTCTGACGAGGTCTGTGAATTGATCTCTGGGCTACAAAGGGGCTCGCGTATGCGGAGTATTGATCGCGCTGGGCTGGGCCGCGGGGAGGCACTGACAACTGCTAACGGCCTAGACGTTCCATCCAAGGCAGACAAACCGCTGAAGAGACCCACTGGATGGATGCGTCACCATCAACCCATACCTAAATGCTCAATGTGGAGTTCATGCTCGGACTGTACGGTGTCTGGCAAACCGGTTCTGGTCCGTGTCACCCCCCTCCACTAATTTACATAACTCCATCTCATTTATAAAAACGGTACATTCTTCGAAGTTGGTACCTAATAAATTACTAATTTAATAAAGATGTACAACTGCTCCTTCAGACGTTACTCAAATTTAAAACTGCGTACAAATAATCTATGGCCCAATTCGTGCTGTGTTCTTAGTGTTAATCAACCGTCACAATCAAATTCTGGGATGAACGATGATGATGATGATAACAATAATAATAATAATAATAATTACTAAGAATACACTAGTATAATTACTATGCTCTTATTTACTATACCCGAGAGTTAAATTTAAAAAGCTGACTTCTTTCCGACTTATCAGTTTTCTGATGCAGTTTCTTTTTAATTTTCCAAACAGTAATGCAGGTATTGTTACTGCATAAGATTCTGGCAATACGGCGTCAAGCTTAACCTATTAAGAAATCGGCAGGCAACTCCTTCCTTTCTGAAGTGTCTAGTAACCAGAGATACCTGAATGTGGAGCAGGGACGTTCTTGAGCAACTGACAGTAGCTCAGCTGTTCAAGTCATTCCCACTTGTTTTGGAAACGGCAGTCTCTCTGAAGAAGTCCGCACTGCCATACCTTAGGTCCTGAAGGTTCATTTTAATATTATCCCCTCATCTAACCCCGTACCTCCCCTCACACCTCCTTCAAATTTAATATCCAAAATCTTGGATGCATTTGTTTCTCTGTACGTGCACACTTCGTCCCCTTTTATCACCTTACAACTACGCGAAGTGAAAAATTTGCGCATTTTTCTCAATTCAGTGCCATTTATCCCATTAATATTTTAAGCATTTCGGTCTTCAACACCATAAATCCGAACACGGAAAGAGCTGGGAAAGCAATAAGGACCAAGTCTGAAATACCACACACTTTTCGGAGTAATATTCAAAAAGATAGTTTAAAAACGCACCCCCCCCCCTCTTTCCAGTGCACACAAAATGTAATGCACAAGTGACGACTTCTGCATGACATTCATCGAATATGCTAGCTAATAAATATGGCAAACACTGACCAGCGTTTTCAAATAGTACCGTGCGTTGTCTGTTTACTCCAAAATATTTTAAATACACGATCCACAAATTATTTGTTATCTCTCTTCATTAACAAAAGTGTAAGCAATCATTGTGGGCTCCTTAGCACTTGCAGGGGTATGCAATGTGTTTGTTGAATATGATGGTGTCACACACAAACTACTCACCATGGCTTGCTCGATCTTGTTGTCAATAGCAACAGCGCTCGTCCCTGACGCACTGCAAATAAATGAAAACCAAATAATTATACATGGAAATTGAAAGCACTTGAATAATGCAGTAGTGGATGCTGAAAGTGTCCTTGGACTGACTAAGCTACCAGTATTTCAATCTGTCGGGAGACACACGAAACCCGCGCAAATGACAGTGAAAGTCGAGTCGACAAGCGTGAAGAATTCAATGTTTTACATGCACCATCTGCAAAACAAATATTTTTAACAAATGTGCACAGTTCTGCCTGCGAAATTCATATACTGTGGTACTCCCTGCTGCGGTTAGTATGCTCATTAATGTACTAGTGGATGTAGTCTCGCGGGTGATCAGAAATTTGTGACTTTCACAGCGGTTTTGCTTATAAGGCCAGGTCGTAACGCAGTTACTGGACGTTTGTATCAATATCACACACTTCAAGGCTGAGGGTTTTTTCAACAATAATATGGTATGGCCATGCGGTCGTTGGCAATATATTTATTAACAGAGCATTATGAGAAATCACAGTACAAGCCGTGGTACGGCCTCAGGTCTCAGAGGGCTTGCAGGAATCTCACAGTCACATTAATCGCCTTAGACGCCTTACTTAGTTCCCTTCGGAAAGAGAATCAAAGAAAACACCGCAGCTTCTGGAAACCTTAGCTCCTACACTGCTTTGCTCACAACGGTGTACAGGAAGTCCACTGACCCTGGCGGGGTTCTTCTTTGAATAAAACCGATCAACCACGTGCTTAAAAGTTTCCACGGCTTGTTCAATACAACCACCATTTTCCTAGAACGACCCGATTTTCTAAACGAGGTGAACATTATACGTAATTTCACACTAAACGGTTACAGTGAGGGGCACACGGTACTGTAATTGGTTGAGGCACTATGCTCCAAGCCGGAAGATCGCGTGTTTGAGCCCCGAGGAAGTGTTTTTTTTTTCAATTTACCTAATACTGCCAGCCGCACTATGGCTCTGGGGTCGACTCAGTCTCTAACAGAAATGAATACCANCCTCACCGCTATCTGTGAGCCGACTGTCTAGAGACGTCTCACACCCCTATGGGCCTTCATGCCCTGTTACACGGATAGCTTTACCTTTACTGCTCACAGTGAATGTTACATTAATGCTATTATCAACATTACGGGCGAAAACGGCGACCTGATGATGATGGAACGTTTGGCCACCGCCGTCACCCCGTCAGCGTCATGGCTAAGAAATTCCGACGCACTGGGAAATGTGCGACATTAGGACAACGTTCAAAACTTAACCATTAGTAGTAAAAACTACACCACACAGAGACTGTTATCTACAGCATTCCGGTTGGCTGCGAACGGAGCTACTTGGCGGTGGTGACAAACAGTATGAAACGTGGGCTCACAGAAAAACCAAAACTAGCCCCGCATGGAAATAACAAAGGGCGCCATATAAATCTAGAACAAGCCAGGCTTTTACACACTGGAGCAATAACATATGTAGGAAATACAGGGACTCGGCCCACATCGCTTGTGTGACGAATCCAACAAGCCATATTCTCTTCATTCGGTTTGACCTGGTTAATAATCTTCGGAGGTGGGTTCTTTGGTGAAATTTCCTTTCCCTGAAGTTTGGTCGTTTCGTTACAATCTTTACTGCTCTCTTGCTCTGACGTTTCCTGCTGCATTATCCAATGGCTATCTGCAGGATTCTGTTCTTTATTGGCCTTTCCCTTATCTCCCCCTGACGTTAACAGAATCCTGTCTGTCACGTTTGCTAGATCTGCTTAAAGCCAATGTTGTAAATGGTTTCATTCCTGTTCTCTCTTGGTTATATTTCAATTTCTACTAGCAATTCCACTGTATCTCCCGCTACTGAATTTGGGTCTCCGGTCAGGACTTATTTCGGTGTAAGTGATTACGTAGTTCTAATGGGTCCAACGGCTAGGACCTACACACACACGCGCGCGCGCGCGCGCGCACGCACGCACGCACGCACACCTGATGGCGAAAAAGAATACGCTTCCAAGCCGTTGTGGTTTGAAAAACTTAAGACTAGGAACAAAGCCCAAACTAACAGCCCTAGTTACAATGTTGTAAGTTCTTCCTTGCGTACCTTCCTCCATCCTCTTCTTATTTTCTAACTCTCGGTTCGAAATGTTCTGTGTTGGCTTTAAGCCGGCCTTAAAAATGTATTCGACACACTACAAACTCGCCGTCACACAGTGATATGAGAACGAACTTTCTTGCAAAGCACGTGAACATATACCGTTTATCTCGAAGTTTCGGTTCAAGCCCTCCTTGTGCAGCTACATCACCATCCGGCACCAAACAGAATTCATGCAAAGATTGCCCGTAGCAATCGTGGACCCCCTCCGGACGGTCTAGTTCGGACAAAAATGCTGTGACGAAGCGATTGTCCCACGACTGGGGATGGTTTAACAGAAAAAATGCGGATCTCTTTTAACTCCCAACTGCCATTCCTCCAACACGGAAGTGAGACAAATTAGGCATTTTAAAATTTCTCGATCCAACCAGTGACCTAAATCAGACTTAATGGACTAAAATTCCTCTCCCTTTATGGAACTAGAAGTTTCAATACCGCGTTCATAAGGGTCGGTGCATCCTGCGCGAAATGAATTGAGTACCCCTTCCCATCTGCGTCATGGTCTTCAAGTAGCATCTTCCCTTCGGATCACGTCTCTATTTCCTGTCTTGTCCCACCTCATGCTTAGGCAACGTGTGCCGAGTATGAAGATCTCTCCAGCTTGTTGAGAGGAAAAGAACGACCCGAAGAATTATCACAGCACATGGCAATGGCGACAAAAAGCAGCACAACTTCCGGTAATGTGATCGGGTTGCGGCCACGCGCGCGCGCGTCAGAGCGCAGCGTCATCACGCGCACGGCACATGTGGCATGTGCATGCTGTTCCATTCCTGTCACAAGTCGTCTTCTCAATTTACTGCTTATCTTACACAGCGAAATACAGCAATAAACTGGGATATGTAATGTAGTTTTGTTGGGTATTTTAAAGCACTATTTCAGAATTTATTTGGACGGAAAACTACGCTGAACCGGCATGAGCTGGGAATCGAAAGCGGAAATCCCGAATTTCTTGTGGCAGTACCAATCTCTTCACTGTGACGCAATACCTTTAGCAGTCTGTCAACCACAATCACCGAGTAACATATCCGAACCTCACATGGAACTGTGCCGTGTCTATATGAAACGGCTCATCTTGCAGAAGACAGGAACATTGCACTGGGCAATAAAGATCTGGCAATGCCATGACGTATGTCTACAGTCGACAATCCAAACTTGTGCAACAGAAGAATATCACGAACAGGGAAGCACAAAAACTGCGCTTGAAATCATGAATAGGCACATCCTCTACTGAGCCGTACTTACACCTCTAACATCTCTTTGTGTGACGCGCGCTGCAGATTCTCGAAAACGTTTCTTGGTGGAGGAAATAAATACTGAAAATGAAAGACGCCAAACGCTGTTTCCTTCACCAAAATGTCTTTCTGTGAAAAACCACATGCATAAATAATTTGTTTCGTACTGATTTGACCTCCGATACGTCTAGTAGGAGCCGGAACGTCGGATAGCGCCGTTTGTATAGCGACTGGCTACGGACTAGACGGACGAGAGGTCGGAGATCGAGCCCCGGCAAGGGCAAGGTTTATCTCCTCTCCACGTCGTCCAGCCCGGTTCTGAGGCCAATCCAACCTTTATCCAATGGGTGCCATGGGTAATTTCTCCATGGGCAAAGCGACCGAAGCGCGAAGCTCACAACTTGCCTCAAACTAATGCAGAGGTCAAGAACACGTGAATCTATACATTCACTCCCCCATACGTCTTCATGGGCCTATCACAGTGGCCGCGTGGTGTAAGGCATGAATGTCTGTGAGCGTTTATTCTGTGCTGTTTTGTGTGTAGGTTGCGACCTTGTGACGGGCTGATCCCCTGACCAAGGAGTCCTACCGACTGTGTATAGGATTAAGAAACTGAAAATCAGCCAAGGTTCAACATAGAGCTGTAGAGCCATAGACAGACAAGTCTTCATGGCGTAATATTTAATTAATTACGCACACGGCCGACTTTACCTTTTTTCCCCCTTACGAACCGGAACGTCACAATGTAACGAACACCTCGCATAGAGCAAATCTATGCGTGAGGCGTATTTGTGTTTGTGCATGATAAGACAAATGAGAACAAGTATCCAAAGCGGGAGTTTGAATACGCGGTTTGCATCAGGCCTCGAATGAGAAACACTGCAATTCAGTCGTGTTATTAAGTCTTAAAACTTCGGCCCTGTAACTTACGGACGAAAGAGTTATCTTGTTACACTAGAATGTCCACAGGCGTGCGTGATATCCAAGACACAGACTCTGCAGAAAAGTAATGGCCATTCATTCGCGTGTGCAAAGCGCACCTCAGTATTAATGGGGGACTTCATGCAGCCGCGTCTGTGTATCGACATTAAACCCAAGGGGCAGTTGATCCAACACGCAATTACCTACAGCGATGTTCACGGGGACCCAAACCGCCGCACTGGACGAGCTCTCGGCAAAACAGCATGTTCCGCTGCCAGGAAATTCTAAGTAACACTGGTCAGTAATCAGAGTTGCAGCCCTACTTTACGCAATATGTTTCGTTGCCCTCTCTATTAACAAGCAGTACTAAATACTAGGCAAATTCATCTGTGAAACTTGGGACATTCCCATACATGCAGGGAAGTTAATCACTACAGCAGAATCCCTGTTACGTTGACAGTAGGCACATTAACCAAGATATTCTGGAACCCAAAGGTTCTCTCATATTTAGGGAATAATATCCACTGACGATATTCCAGAGCATGGAGCGGAAGATATGCAGTCCTAAGAGGCTGCTGAAAATTGCTAATAAGGGTTTTCATAGTTTGTAGGTTTTTATTTTTTGCTATTCTTAACCAGCCCGATGAGATGCCGGTGACTGTAGAGTAACTGGTGAAATGAAGACTGGCAGGGGAAACCGAAGTACTAGGAGAAAACCTGCCCCCAGT